CCCCAAAACCCCAAAACCCCAAAACCCCAAAACCCCGATTCTCAGGGATGTTTAAGGTTTATTATAAATATATTAATATCCAAGATGAATAGGCAAGTTATCCAGTCGATGGATCTTAACCAGAAAATGAATAAGCTTATAGTAACTACACAGAAGCAGGGGATCATCTTGTACTCCATTTCTTCAGATTTTCAGATGAAGAAAGAGTTATCCATTCTTGACAGAAGACATCTGAGAGCGGAGCAATCTATAATTGATGCAAGGTGGAGCAAGCCCTTGCTTGTAGGAGCAAAGCATAAGGAGTTCATCCTCTTCTGCTCTTCTGCTAAAAACATTAAATTGATAGACTCGGAGACGTACAAAATCGTGAAGGAATACAGTAAACTTAAGAACAAGGCAACAACCCTGCTGTGGAATCCTTTGGTTGAGAACAATGAGTTCTTTCTTAGTGGTCATGAGAATGGCACAATAAATTACTGGCATAAAGACCAGACTGACTCCTTGTACACCATTAGCTTTAAGCAGCAGAACAGTCAAGTAAAGCATCTCTCGTATAATTTGAAAGGAGCCAAGATGTTTGCTTGCGGGCATGAAGACGGTAAAGTTTTTGTTTGGAATACCCAATCCCCAAATGACCCGAAGTATCAGTTTCAGCTAGGAAGACAAACTGTTGAAGGTGTTGAGTGGCATCCAGCTTATGGTAAAACTCTGATGTCTGGTGGTAAAAATATCAGGATTACCCATATGCAGGACAATAAGCTACAAGACGAGGCAATTAATACTTTCAGAGGAAAGTTAAATGCTTTGAGATGGAGACCAGGGACAGATAAAGAAATTTCATATGCTTCAGAGAACCTTCTCATCGTTTTGAACAAGACTAGGCCATATTTGAACCACTATATGATCCAGATTCAATCCGGGCCAATTGTATCTTTCGAATGGCATAAGAACAACAACAATATTATAATTGCAGGCAAGAAGGATATCGTTATTGCAAGTCTAAAAGATGCATTTGTCCCTCTGACTGTTATGAATGTAGCTGTGTTCGACATTGACGTGATGGAAAATATCGTATTCCTGAAGCAGCATAATTTCAGCAGGGATCCTAAATAAATTGATGAAAATGAGCAAGCCTGATAATCTCATAACTTATCAATCGTTGAAAAATGCACTAAAATATCGCCTTGATAGCTTTATTGACCGAAGAGCAGATGGCATGCAGCTCGGAAGTAGGAGGTTTTATGGAGAAGAGCCTAAAAAGAAGAGAAAAGAAAGGAAAATTACTATTGACCAGAGAAGAATATTTCAAAGAATCCAAGCTTTTAATAGTGATGAATTAGACTACAAAGAGAAGGATGACACCAATATAACTAGTAAGTTTTAAAGCTTATAGTTTAGCAATTAAATAAAGAAGACACAATTGATCCTGATGAGGTCTTTGTCAAAGTTGATAAATATACAAAATTAGCTCATTTGTTCAAGTTCCAGGGAGATTCTATCTGAAATCTTTGCAAGCACAATTCAACTGTAGCAAAGGAGCAAGGGTATGAAGAGCTTTCACAGTCTTGGGACTCGCTCCAAATTTTGTATCATGATCTCAACGGCGGTAAATATAGTCATTTCAATGAGGAAAAGGAAAAGAGCCAAAAACCTTATCGATTTAATACTTTCCACAAGTTGCGAACTTTGGACTCAGGATTAAGGCTAAATGGTGAACCACAAGGGAATCAGGAAGCTGTGAATAAAAAGCACCAAACCCATAATACAAAGAATAAAAGAAAGAAGTCTGGTGCACAATTAAAAATAAATTTTGTGAAACCCAAAGAGAACTATAAGATTTATTCAAATTTTGACATTGAAGCTGGAAACTCTGAAAATCCTGGAGGTATTTTCATGCCAGCTTCTTCTATCAGAAAGCCTCAGAAAGTGAAGAAGGAGACTGTGAGGCAGTCAGGACAAGTTTTTAAGCCCAAAGTTATCAGTCTGAGTTCAGCTAAGATGAGACCTTCGAAGAAAGTCCAAAAAGAAGAGAAAACAGTGAGGCTAACTCATATAGAGTATGACACTAAGAGGGAGAAATTACACTGCTCTAATGAAGTTGACTGAAGTGAATCTTTGAACATCTGGGCAAATGACATGATGAAGCAGTCTATCTTAGACATAATCTTTTACTATGCTGAGAATGGAGACCTTCAGAGTAGCTCTATAATGCTACTGATATTTAAATCAAAGATCGCAATTCCGAATTCAAGAGTTAGTTCTGTCGTTAGGGGGTATCTGAATGTGCTTCAAAGACTTAAAGCTTGGTGAATAGCAGCAGAAGTAGTCAAGTTCTGCCAAATTGCTGATATACAGAATGAATATGGCAAAAGCTCAATGATAAAAACTAAATGCCAGCATTGTAGGAATAAAGAAAGTGGCACAGAAGTTAAGTGCTATCTTGACAAATGTGGGAAATTTAACTCTCATTGATCAATCTGTGACATCCCTGTCAGAGGTAGAATGTGGTGGTGACAATTATGTGGGCATGGAGGGCATTCATATCACATGAAAGAATGGTTCCAGATGAATACGACTTGCCCAACTGGGTGAGGACATAATTGTTTAGATGACAGTTCATATCTGTCTTTGTTCTTAAACTAAAAAGTATTGCCATAATGCTATTCTCAATACTAATCGCATTCTATTAGAGTCTAAATTCTCTTTGCCAATTGTTATATCTTTTTAAAGTATCAGAGTACTAATAGTTCAACGTATATTTCTTTTTCGGGGTTTTGGGGTTTTGGGGTTTTGGGGTTTTGGGG